CTATTACGATAAACCAAAACTCATTCTTGCTTGGCTTCTTATTCAACAAGTGGCATTTTTTTACTGTATCTGTCCCTTTATGCTATAAAAACTTTTATTAATCCAATTTTTAATATCTTTTGCTCAATAAAGTCATTTCAAAAACCACTAATGTTTATTATTTAATAATAAAGTTATTACCCCTTGTTCGCAAATACTATTTAAACTTAATATTTAATACTAAGAAGGTGATTGTTTTACAAATAAATAAAAATTACTAATATAACATAAAGCTACATTTTTACTAAATATAATTATATATTTTTTGTAACCCAAATATTAAAAAAAGAGCACAAGCATGCAATCAGTAATTCTAAATTTATCTATAAAACATTGTTTCATTTATTTGCAATTTGCGGCATAACTTACGAGAAGTAAGACCAAGTGCAGTTAAAAGAAAAAATGTTCTTAGTTAAATGCAGAAGTTATATAATAAATTATAATATTATAATAAAATAATATATATATATATATATATATATATATATATATATATATATATATATATATATATATATATATATATATATATATATATATATATATATATATATATATATATATATATATATATGGGCATTTCCATTTCTGTGCGAAATTTTTTATTTTTCTTTGTTTTAGCAGTTAAAAGCTAGGACTTTATGCAATATGCATACTATTTTGATTTTCTTAAAGAACAATTATAACTAAAGTATTTTTATCATATTTTTTAGGCTATCTGAATAAATTAAATATACACATTTTTACAATTTTATTTTTTTGAGTAATAATATCGCTACATTTTGAAAAATACACAATAATTTTCAAAACGCCATACTCTAGCTAGAAATAATTGATGACTGCCATTTCTCATCGAAAATATATTAAATATGAGTCGCAGAAGTATAATATTTCACTTGAAATACTCACTAGCAACTTATTTTCATAAAAATAACTACATGAAATTGACAAATTTGCAACATCCGTGCGTGACTTCCGTGCGTGATCATTCATAAACTGCATTTAAATGATTGCTGTGACTCTATGACTCATAGTGTAATCCTGTAAATTTCTGGAAATCTTTACTAATGTTTAAAATATTATTTCAAAAAAAAAGTATACCGGTGAAACTTATATTGTCCGAGGAATTAAAGTTTATTTATCTAGTAACTAAAATAAAAGTTTTTCTGTTCCGTGCGTGATTCCATTTCAAACTTTATTTATTCTTTGTTAACATTACTAATTCTTACTATTTTTTGTTTACAAAATATTTATATTGATTAGAATTAAATGAGAGTATATTGGAGATCGCTACTTTTATTTTTATGAAAATAAAAAAAAAAACATATACAAGTTTCCGTGCGTGATTTTTTGGAAAAAAAAAAAAAAAAATATATATATATATATATATATACATATAAATATATATATATATATATTTATATATATAAAATAACATATATATATATATATATATATATATATATATATATATATATATATATATATGTGATTTGCGTTGTTAAATTAATAATGCTGTACAACAAAATATATATATATATTTATATATATAAAATAACATATATATATATATATATATATATATATATATATATATATATGTGATTTGCGTTGTTAAATTAATAATGCTGTACAACAAAATATATATATATATATATATATATGTTATTTTTTAAATAACATATATATATTCCAAATAACAAATGCAAAAATAACAATTACAGGAGCAATTTATGGCTTTCGCAAAAGTATCATTTTTCTTACGAAAGTATCATTATTGTTGTAACTAAAATAAAAAACAATGTCATTAAAAAAAAATTAATTACATACTATACTGTAATGATTTTTAAAACGCATGGTTGTTGCAAAAAAAAAAAATAATAAAAAAAAAAGTGCCAAGGAGCAGCTTGCACAGCTCCCCAAGTACATTTTAGGAGAACATTTCTCTATTCTTGTGCTCATTTATTCCTGCCCAGGCCTATATATATTTATATATATATATATATATATATATATATATATATATATATATATATATATATATATATGTATATATATATATATGTTATTTTATATATATATGTATATATATATATATATATATATATATATATATATATATATATATATATATATATATATATATATATATATATATATATATATATATATGTATATATATATATGTTATTTTATATATATATATATATATATGTATATATATATATATATATATATATGTTATTTTATATATATATGTTGTTTTATATATATATATATATATATATATATATATATATATATATATATATATAAATATGTATATGTATATATATATATATATAAATATGTATATATATATATATAAATATGTATATATATATATATATATATATATATATATATATATATATATAATATATATATATATATATATGTATATATATATATATATATATATATATATATATATATATATATATATATATATATGTATATATATATATATATATATATATATATATATATATATATATATATATATTATATATATATATATATATATATATATATATATATATATATACTTAAAGTACTTAATAGATAAATTATAAATATATACTGTATATATTGTTACCTCCAGTATCAGAATATAGATATTTGCTAATATTTATAATATATATTGCAACTCAGAGTTTTATGTGTTGGAACAACCATCAATCATATTATTGTATTCCCTTCTGATTTAAACAAAGTTGCTTTAACCAGAAACTTATAAATCAAATTTTAACATTAACTTTAATTCAGGTCTAGGTAATTTCAAATTTTTTTTTAGTATTTTAATATTGTTAAACTAATAACACTGTACAAAATAATTTTAATTTATCTTTTTATTATGTCATAACAAAATATTGTTACTTTGTAATTCAATTTTATTTATATATTGTATATAATTATAAACGCATTTATATTTATATACAATTTATTATCGGCTGATGGTTGCTTGAAGTAACAGCAAAATCTACCACTGCTATTGTTGCTTTAAAGAAAAATCACAAAATGGTCCTAAAACATTTTATACGATTGCACCAATACTTTAATTAAATGAAATAATTTCAATTATTACTAATAAATGAAATTATTATTATGAATAAAATGATTATAACATAACAATGCATACACAAGCTATGAAAACTTTTTATTGGTTTAAACTTTTTACTTGGATATCTGCAGCCATGTTTCTCTTAATTTAATGTTTACATCTGATTTATTAATAGCTACATTGTTCCATATTTTGAATTTCTTATCAGCTATAAATGCAGACTGTTTGTCAGACTTTGTAGAGATTGTTGACAAGTTAAGAGCAGTTTGTTAAAATAAAAACTTTCTAAGATGTAACCATAGAACTCAAAAGTTTTTTTCATGATTTGAATAGTTATTTGAAGCATTTATTACAATTGCAAGAAATTTATCAACTGCAGCTACTGGATTGTATGATTCTTCATTCTTTACAATAGTTTGATGGTTAGTACCTCTGGGTAAATGAAGTGGCCATCAACAAAATCAAACTTTTTTTATTACCATCTTTTATGTTGAACAAATCTTTACCAACAAAAGAACATTTATACTTTTTTAAATAATGAAGAAAAGACTCACCTTTCATCCATCCTTTATCAGCTCCTATTGACAATCATACAAAGTAGGATGAGTTACAAGGAGCCATTCCTCCAATAGCCAAGAAGTTGATGACAACTGTAATATTTTCTTTTTCACTAGTGGCACAAGCCTGTTGCAGACATTTATGTTTTCTATTAATGAAATCCTTGCCTAACAGTTTCAAAGATGAACATGCATCCTTAATGTATATTGGTAAAGCAGATGCTGTTCCTAGTCTACACAAAATTGTTTAGACCAGATAACATTGTTTGCAAAGTACTTCAAGGAATGTTTTATTATTTTGCAGAAAATTTAACAGACATTTAATTGAGTTAATAGCTTACTTCATCTTAGTAAAGACATTTTTTGATTTCTATTTTATAGACATCAAAATGCATCAATAAAAACCATAAAAAATAATAAAAATTTTAACTTAAAAATAATTTAAGTATAAAATATTAAAATAACTAATAAAAAAAAAGTTTCTTTAGAAGTTTGAAAACATTCAATATAAACAACATTTAAACATTTATTCCAGTTGTGTTCACAATTTTTGCAACAAACTTTGGAATTCTCTCCAGTGTTCCTGTATTCTCTCATAAAAATTAACAATTTTTTAATTTTTAACAGTTTTTCAAAATATTAAAATAATATATTGATATTTAAACTTGAAAATAAAAATAATATAAGAAATTTAAATTTCAGAACAAAATTTTTCTCAATGTTAAGTTGATACTGTATGATGCCTCTGGAACTAATTTATCCCTCGCATTTTAAACAACAAATTATGAGTAGAAAATGGTTCTTCCAATTGCTTCAGGAATTGAGTAACATGCTTGAGATTTGCACCAAGTTGTGTCGTTTTTTATTATTTCATTTAGAGTAACCTTTTTATGAAGCAATTGACAAGCTTGAATAAATTTTTTCTCAAATGATAGATAAGAGACAGTTCTAGATAGATAAGAGACAGACAGACTTTTATCCTATTAAAATTTACTTGTTTACTGAAAATAAATATGAAACTGGTAATTGAAAATAATATATACTAATAATTGAGTTGTACTAATAACTGTGTCACTAATAATAAAATAATAAAACATTTATGACATTAACAGTCCAATTTTAAAACACTATCAGATTTGCATTATTACATAACATAATGATATTTAGAAATGCCACATGCTTCCTATTGTGCAATCTCTGTTTTTTTTTTTTCCAAAATGATATATTTATAAAAAAAAGATTATTAGTTTTCATTCATTCATTTTATCAGATTTTTAACTAGCACATAAAAATCCATTCAAATGAACATTGTTAATAACACTGTTTTGTTCCTGCTGTAAGCAAGTTAGCAGCAAGTATCACTGTTTTAAGTAACAAAGTTGTAAACACTGCTCTGTTCCACTGTTAGTAAAACTGTTCACTTTTCTAATAATTGTAGTACTGTTCACTGTTTCACTGTTGGTAATACTATTCACTGTTTGCAATACTGTTTACTTTTCCAATGGTTGTAATACTGTTCACTATTCTACTGTTAGTAATATTGTTCCCTGTTCCACTGATAGTAATACTGTTCACTGCTCCACTTTTAATAACACTATTCACTGATCCAACAATTAACTAGTTTTTATTATTAGATTATTTTATCTGTTTTAGTAACTAATAAAGTATATGATGTATAATGTTGAATAATAAATACAATTTAACCTTTAAAAAGTCATAAATATACCTTCCATTGTAAATGTTTTCCCAGTTCCTGTTTGTCCATATGCAAATATTGTTCCTAAAATTAAGTAACAGTTAGAAATTACTAACCAATTTAATTTTTATAAAGTGTAAAAACATATCATATCAAACCATAAAAATATATAAGAAAAATTAAATTATAATGATATATTAGTTTGACAATGGCATAAGATAACATTAAAATTAGATTGTAAAAATATAATATTTCATTTTAGTAAACTGCTATTTTAAATAAATTTACTAGAACAATGCAAAAATAAAAAAAAACTTTTTATAAATATGACAATTATTATACCATTATAACCATTTAAAACTGATTCTACTAATTCTGAAAATGTTTCATCATACAAGTCTCGCTGCTTTGAGCTATAAATAAAAATATTTAAGACTGATAACTTCGAAAATCTTTCTAATAAATTGAACATTTAAAAAAACTACTAGAAATCTAGTCTATCTATAAATCCCTAAACAATTTTTTCACATAAATAATGTTTTTGAAAAAATTGTTATTGAAAGCTAAATTTGAATAAAAAAAAAAGTATAATACTTCCAATCATAAACAGAATCAAAAGTGAATTCACGAGGAGGTTCATCCTTCTTGGATGACGGTGTACTTAAGTACACTATTCCTCTCTTGCTGTCCATTTCAACTACCCTACAAGTATTATAAAGTATGAAAATTATTTAATGGTAGTTTATAAAAAAACTCATAAAAAGTAATATTATAACCACCTTTCATAACCAGCTGCTACTTCTTTTTCATTCATTGGTCGACAGCGAACAACAACTTTAACACTTTCAGCTGATTTTTTTGACTAAAAACATAATTACAAAAGTCCATGAGGTAAGTATACTTAAATATTCTTTTAAAATTATTCCTTTATATTGAATAAACATAGAAAAAAGCTTGAGGAAATAAAAAATGATACCAATAAAGAAAGAAAACAGAAAACTCTACATTATATATAAAAAATATAGCAAGATTTCAGTTACTCAGATAATAAATAAAAAAAAACCAAGTCTTATTTTAGTTAAAACATCGAATAATTCTGCTGAAGAAGTAAGATTATTAGTAAGATCAAATAAAAAAACTGATTAAAAAAAGATTAAATTAAAGTTAATTGCTTACCGCCATGATTTTAGATAATATTATTTTGTTTGTACTAAAATGATATTATTCCTTTATATATATATATATATATATATATATATATATATATATATATATATATATATATATATATATATATATATATATATATATATATATATATATATATATATATATATATATATATATATATATATATATATATATATATATATATATATATATATATATATATATATATATATATATATATATATATATATGTATATATATATATATATATATACTTATTTAAATGTATACATATATATATATATATATATATATATATATATATACACATACAAACATATAAAAAAAAAATGATTATATATATACATATATACATTTATATAAGTATATATATGTATATATACTTATATAAATGTAAATAAATAAAAAGTAAAATATATAGATATATATATATATATATATATATATATACATATATATAAATATATGTATAGACATATATATATAAATATATAAGTATAAATATATACATACATATAAAAAATTGTATATATATATATACTTATATATATATATACTAATATATATATATACTTATATATATATATATATATATATATATATATATATATATATATATATATATATATATATATATATATATATATATATATATATATATATATATATACACACACACTTACTAAAGTGTGTTTTGATAAGCATTTGCTCACTTAAAAGTCTTCTCTTTTTGATCGCTTAAAACAGATCGATCAAAAAGAGAAGACTTTTTTGACAAAAAGTCTTCTCTTTTTGATCGCTTAAAACAGGCAGCCAATTTTGTATCTGTTGATACAAAATTGGCTGCCTGTTCTAAGCGATCAAAAAGAGAAGACTTCTAAAATATGTGAACCCCAATCTGTTCACAGATTAGGGCTCACATATTTTAGCTTATAAACTTTTATTTCCAACAAAACTCAGTTATTTATTGCAAACAACTACCACAATACTGTCGACATTCCTATATTAATTAATGGTAACCCTCTTACTGAGTCCTCTTTTTTACATCTTCTTGGAATATTATTTGCTACTAAACTTTCTTGTAAACAAAATATACAATCGATTGCTAAATTAGCATCTCTTTATCATTATTGTTGTTTTCTTACCCTTGATTCCATTCTCTTCCTCTACAAATATCTTTTTGTCCCTGTATAGAATGTTGTAGTCATATTTGGGCTGGTTCTTCTTATGATGCCCTTTTTCTTCTAAGCAAGCTCTATCTGCTAAGCTTGAGCCTCTTTCCCATTGTGATAAAGTTGCATCTCTTTCTCTTTTCTACAAATTCTATCATTAACAAAAATTCATTCTCGCTTGACTCTTTATTATGCTAAGTCTTATTCATTAGTTGTTAAATTTTATTAAATATAATAAATGTAAATAAATAATGTTTATTGTGTCAATATACACTAAAAACAGTAAAGATAAAATTGAGGAAGTTAAAATTATCAAAGAAGTTTTATACAGGACTGCTTCAACCGTGTTAACCTTTAACCGTGTTAATATACCAAAACAAAAATTAATTCAGTAAATTTCAGTATTTATTGTCCTATTTAAATCAGAAATTAAAATATGAATTAAGATATTGCCATTAAAGTTAAATTTAGTAACTTAAACAATGAATTTTTGAATATTTCCCAAAAAAAAACAAAAAAACGGACCCCTATATTTTTTTCTCCAAAAAAACGACTAAAAAAACCAAAAAAACAAGAACCAAAAAAATGCATCACATCTCTAATCCCAGCCACAGAATTCAAAATAGTCAGCAAAAATGCATTCAAATGGTGTCACAGAGATGTGAGGTCGGATGGGTGGTAGTTGTGCATTAGAAAGTGCATTTCGATGCAACAGTTATCGCGCTTACTTTGTATGCTGTGAGTGATACATGGCCAGAAAACAGTGGCTTGAGCTCTGGCTGTCATTGCCGATACTCCTTGGTGGGCTGAGTGTAGTACGTCCAATATCTCTTTCCGTGGAGTATGTGGGATTACAATTCTGTCGTTGTATATTATAACCCCGTCGGACACCATCAAGTCATTGCGGTATTCCCAGAACGGTAAAAGATTTGGAAGTTATTCTTATTTTTTGGGAAACCGTTTTCTATTGCTAACATTATTGCTTTAAAATCGGTATCCTTTTCTGTCTCTGCTTTGACACTATCCCATGTTACTGCAATCATTTTATCTATGTTGTTTTGTATCGAGGCTATTATTAGTGATTCTGTGTTCATCCGTCTATACAGCAATCTGGGGAGTCTGATTTACATTCACAATGTTTTTGGCTTAGGTAATATCCTAACCCCAATTTTGACCAGTCGCATCTTAAACAGGTCTTCTTGGTAATGTCAAATATTTGGACTCCATCTTTAATTGAGTTGATGATTTTTTCCTTTAACACGTTGAATAAAGTGTTGAGTTCGTCCAACCAATAAATATTTGATTTAGGGCTAAGCAGAACTCTGAATGGTGCCATAGTTTCTCGAAGTTGAGCGTAATGTGATACTTGGGTCACTAAGCCGAACCAAGATCGGATGTCTGTTATTGAGGATGGTGTTGGAAATGATCTAATGGCGTCGATATATTTAGGTAGTGGTTCAACTCCATTTTCAGATATTCTGAACGATGTGGGGGCGATCCATTTTAGGTGCCTTGTGTTTTGAGAAAGCTGAATAAATGTCAATCGAGTTTGGAGGATGGTGAAGCTGGTGACTGTTGAATAATGCAATTGCAATTGCTTCGCTGGGACCTTCAATGACAACATTGCATCCTGGGGCCTGGCAAGGTAAGCTTATTGTGGACATAATGTAGGAAAGAAAAAGGTTAGCAAAATCCTACCTTTTGTGTGTACATTAACAACTTCAAATAAATATGTAAGTGAACTACAATTTCAACAACTGACAAGAAGTTTTTATCTTTGAAATACCAGTGTTTTTTTAAAATTCCATAGAATGCATAAGAAACTAACATAAACAAAAGTTAGTTGTTGTTCTCAATTATAATTATATCTTAAACAATGTTAGTTTTTAAATGAAATAACAATAAGTGTAAACAACAACAATATAAAACAATATAAAAACAAGAAATTACTAATGTCACTACTTATTATATTATAATAAGTAGTGACATTATCATATTATATTAATTCAAGTATTTACAAATTTTTTGAATGTTATCTCAGATAAATCTTAATGGTAATAACATATATATAGTATTATATACTATACAATACAATTGTAAAACTATTTATCAAAATAATTTCTGATTTGTTATGCAGTATACAAACTTTACATTCAATGAAATAAAAATGTTGTGCCTAAAATATCAACAAAAAAAATAGTAGAATTTCTCTCTTCGGTAAACAAAGATACTATCACTAGATTTAATTTTTACTGTTAGAAATAAATTTATTACAATATTTTGGTAGAAATAATATTTTACATAAATATTGGTACATAATTAAATGTTGATGTAAAGTTAATTAAAGAGAATTATTAAACACTACGGAACTTTTTGCCTATTAATAATATCATACTTTTAATAGATGTTAGAGATACGGTAAAAGCAACCAAGGATAAACAAATCTGATTTCTTTTTTTTTTTCTCTTTTACTGTTTTTTTCTTTCTATATATTTTTTAATTTTTTTTTTATTTTTTTTATTTTTTTTTCCCTTTCTATATATTACTTAATTTATTCATAAGCTATGCGGGCTAATTTAAACTTTGTACAAAACCAGAGTCTTCTTATTTTCAAAAGATAACAGGTTCTAAATTATAGATGCTAACTGTCCGGGTTTTAATCGCGCAGCCCGAGTTCAATTAAGTATGTCCAGGTGTCCGATTAAAATCGGATTCTCAACTTTGATATGTTGCTAACTATTAAGCATATTTAAAACGACAATTAAAAAAAATTTTGCTCCTAATTTGGACAAGTAGAATTCAAATTCTTTGTTGTTTAGACCGTAATTTCTTGTTCTTCAGGTTTTTTTTTTTTATCAATTTTTAGTACAATATCTTCGGAAATAAAGAAAACTTACGTTTTAAACTAGAAACATTAAAAAAAAAATTTTAATAAGAAAAAGTTTACCAACTACAAACAGATATTTTAATTCAGAATTAAGTTATATGCATGTACTGACTATTTCAAAATGATCTCAGTTTCAATGTTTTTCGCTACTACTTGGTAAATTTTATTTTGTATTGAAAACGAACCGACAAAAAACTTTAATGATAATCATATATGAAAATTGCGCATTAACCATAAACAATACCGATTTCTGAGATAGCATTAGTGCGATTTATGCTTGGTTATAATACTTATAGCATTAAAACCTCACTAAACAACAAGGTGTGTTATACTTAAGGATTTTTTGAAAATTATTTTCTTCTAAAAACTGGTATATAGAAAACTTGTGTATAACTATTTTAACATTAAAACCAAAAAAAAAAACTAAAAATAATTTACGTTATGCTACCGGGAAGTGTATGTTAAAATTGCATATTTATGGTCAATATTTCATAATTTCATAATATAATTATATATAATAAATGAAATCTTCGATTAAAAAAATGTAACTAGCCGAAACTGGATCAGCCACAAACAATGCTATTTGTATACATTTATAAATAGGCTAAAAATTATATATATAAATTATATTATATGCCGTGAATGTAAACGCCAGGCTTCAACAGTCAAAAGCAAAGAGAGCCATAATCACCGGAATTCCCAACGTAATTAGTACCGATGCTTCCGTTGTCAATCTATTGGTAAAAGATTTTTTACAAAATATTCATTACTTTGCTTCCTCCAAAGTTGTAGGACGCATTCCTGCCGCTGAATCTAAGAAAAAACAACAAATCGCCGCCAAGCACTAGCATATCTATTTTTCATATGCTACTACCACCACTCAACCAGCTCCACCGTCTCTTGCTATCGAATTTGAAACCAATGAAATTTGCAACAGTCTTCTAGCAATCGCCAAAATCATGTCACCAATGAATCATACAAAAGTATCTTCATACGGCCACGTAGAACTCCTTCAGAGCAAGACCTCGTAACAAACTGAATAAGGAAAGGAGAAGCTTAACAACGGCCTTAAACCAAACGGTAAACTCAACGAGCCCTTTTGTTTTGTTATCGAGTCAAATGTTTTGACATCAACAAAAAAATCAACATCAATGGCTTGGAAAAACTCCCGCTTATCAACTGGAAAGAGGCCTTTGCTGCAGCCCAAACTAACCAGTGAGCAGTCGCAACATTTAACATGTGATCTTGTCCCTATAATTAATAGCTTGGCTTCTCCTACTATAAGCCGAGTATAGTAGTATAGCCGACTATAATTAAACTGATTTTACACTAACACCACATCTCTAAATTTAATAAATTTTATCTTAACTACAACTCTCCCTGTTTTACCAGCTTAAAATTTATATATAAAAAAGATAACTACGCTACTCCAAAAGAGAAACTCTCCCAAGTCGATTGGGTTAATCATTTTAAAGACCAATATGCCGACAAATGCTATCAAATTTACTGCAACAACTATGTCAAATGCTCTGACAAATTTATTCCATGTGCCACCCCCAAGCCAAACAAACGCAGCTTGGCTAACTAGCAAACTTCACTTACTAATCAAACGTAAGAAACGTAAGAAACGTAACACTTTGGTGTTTTCATACGTTTGAACATCTCAACATCAACAGCAAAGGGCGAATCGTCCCTCTTGTCAAAGAGTATCCTAACTCAAAGCCTTGTCGAAAAACTTTCCTACATTGCAATTAGAGCTTTTGAGCACAACTTAGCAAACAACAAACGGAATCCTAAGCGTTTGTCATTTTCACCCTCTTTTGGAAAATAATTAGCAACCAGACATCAATATACTTAACAGCCATTTCCAGTTGGTATTTACAATCGAACCATTAGATCAATCACTACTTCCATTTGTCAAACGTACAACCACTTTAATATCCTCTGCCATCTTCAACTATAATTCCGTTTACAAACACCTATCTAATCTCAACGTCAATAAATCAAGTGGAGGTAACCACATGCTACCCACTCGCCATCATATTTTTAGAAATTGATGGATTAAGGTGTAATCTCATAAGCGTGGCTTTCGGCAAACGTGACACCACTGTTCAAAACAGGCTCCAGACTCGACCCAAAAAGCTACAGGCTTTCTCCATCTCCTCTGCACCATGCAAAAAATTGGAAAAATGGTTAAAGAAAAGATTATGCAGCACCTTGTAACCCATAATCTTTTTGGCAATTGTCAACACGGTTTCGTCAATAAAAAAGCACGCGTTGCAAATCTGCTTCAGACCATGTATTTTCTGACCTACAGCATTTCTTGCAAGCTTTCAGTAGACGTGCTTTTTCTTGACTTCGCCGAAGCCTTTGATAGAGTCCCTACAGAAGATTACTGCAATAACTTGAATCCTACGTAAATGAAGATAACATTCTGAACTGGATAAATGCTTTCCTTTCAAATCAATTAGAGCATGAGGCAAACAAAAATAACCGCGGTCAAGGCCAAAAAATTCTTGGAATCTTGAAAAACACATTTATTGAGACTCCAAAATATGGAAAAAACTTTACACCTACTATATACGCCCACATCTTGAGTTTGCAGTAGTGGCCTAGTGCCCGCATACTGAAAAAGATAAAAATGTCATAGATGCATCCAGTATCGGGCTAACAAAGTTCTGCAAGAAATAAAGTGTTTTGATTACAAGAAAAGATGCATCAAAATTGCCGTCAGCTCTCTACTAAAAAGATATTTACGCGTTGACCTAATAAAAAAAAAATTGAAAACAATATTGACTCAATTAGCTGGTTTTTTGATCCACCAAACATTCCTCCAAGCTGCGGTCATTTCAAACGCTTTTATCGTGAAATGAACAGTAACTGCCTTGTTCGCTATAAATTCTTAATAACGGCGTCGCTCATCTCTGGAATGTCCTGCATACGAAGTTGTCAGCGCTACCATAATTGCTACAGCGCATCATCTCCTGTGCGATTTTGCACGAGCTAACACAGGTAGCTGTTGTTGGGTTTACGGAACAGGCTCGTACCGTGTAATTCAATTAACACGGCAATTTTACGGTACAAACAATTAAAAAACTCTGTATGGTTGTTTTAATCACCATCATAGGTATTTAGAAAAAGTTCAATATTTAATTTTAACTGGAGGTGATTATGGATAGTCGAAACATGAATTAATTTTATTAATAAAATGGTTTTAAAAAAGTTTTATGCAAATACATAGAATGATATAAAACTCTGAGAAGCATTGAACATAGAAATAACAGAGATTTTTAAAATTTCAAAAAAAGTTAAAATGTCCTTTAACTAAAAGCAACTGGAATTTTGATATTAATTTCAAATCCAAAATCAATGTCCGATGTATGACAACCAGGAAAAGTTAGTAATAGGTAGTTAAAAATAAATTATTTATAAAACCCTTTTTTAGTTTATTTCTCTGTAGACAAAAAAAAGAAAACTTTTTAAAACTAAAACCGTGAACTAAATTCACAGTTAAAGTGCATTTAGTTCATGCATTTTAAAATTAGTTATGAATCAACCCGCTAGGACTGTCAACACTCGTTTATTTTTTATGACTTTTGGTTTACGCATTTTATTAACAGTAGATGATAAATTAAAAGTAATGCTCAAAAGGTAAAACTAGCACCACTATTGATTCTTAATTCTAATTGATGTTAATTCTAAGGTCTTGTGAGTTGCACTGACGACTGTTACAATGATAATTTACTCACAGACAAATTTTGCTTTAGTTTTTCTAAAATTTTATTCCATTAATTTATGGTTATAAAGGTACAATATCTAACAATTTGACCAAAAAAAAAGAAGCAAGCAATAACTTCCTTTTTTTTTTTTTTGCAAATTTAGAAAACACGGCATGAAAATTACATACACACCAGTTTTTTCGATAATAAAATCAAATATATCAAAAGGATATGGTTCATCATTTTAGACGTTTTACTATATCAAGATTTTATCCATACGTAAATATATCAGAACTGTCATACCTTATGTTGTATATTTAGAACTTTAGAGCTCAGGTCAATTAGATAAAAACGTGCAACACAAATATATAAAAGAAATTAAGTATATTAATCCAACGACATGTCAAAATAAAATTTTCAGTGCTGTATTAACACAAACAGGGAGCACGCAAAAACTACACAAATGCCTACGCCTAATCAAAGTCCTAAAGTTAAATTTAAGAGCACACCAGAGCTTCCATACGTAATGTTGACCACACCAGAGCTTCCATACGTAATGTTGACCACACCAGAGCTTCCATACCTAATGTTGATCATACCAGAGCTTCCATATTTACTGATTATGGATGAACGATTCTGAAAAAGAAAAAGATAATAAATTGGACACTGAACAACTAGGAACACTATATAACGCACAAAGAATAAAATACAACAACTAGGGTAAGTCTAATAAAAATTGGCACAAAAACAAAACTTAATTATCAGAAGATAATTATTGATAAATGATTAATCATTGACAACTAATTAACACAATACAAATTGGCACTACTTTGTACTGTCAACCGGGGCTAGTTTACTCCATCGATGTTACTTTGCACCACTTTTAAAAAGTTTTTGTTGCTAACCAGCTCTAATGCGGTAGTGGTGTAGTAGTAGAGCGCTCGCCTCATAAGCAAAAAGTTCCGAGTTCGATCCTTACCAAATCCCTAGTAGTACCGCGCTCAACTTGTTTACCCGCGCAGCGGCCTTGCTCGTTGAGGTTCGTGTTTCGGAGTTAAAGAGTCGGGAGAGGGTTGTAACCACAAAAGTAGCCTCTTCGACTTTAGTGACCTTCTCAAACTTAGGGAGGTGATTTATTAATATAAATATATAGTAATATACATTTTTTTAAATTATATGGTTTTTTCTTGATAGTTGGGGTTAACTATCTTCAATTTTCGAAATAAATTTTGAATGATGCTGCTATTTTAAGTGTTGCATTTATAATATTTGTGTACGCCCTTTTTTACCGAATTTTTTCTCCTCTAAAAGTGACGTGTTAATACACAAGAACTATATTAATTTAAAATAAGTTTAGTTTTTTTATGCGAAGAAACTATCTCTAGTTTAAACTATTTAAAAAAAAAATCCAAATTAAGCAATTATTTATAAACCTGTTGTTAAAAGCAGTTTGGGTTCACGTTTTGACTAAAAAGGGGCTACTTTGCACCAGTTAGGAGAATGGTTTGATTAACTTTCTTTTAATAATTGGTAATTGGTTTAAAATTCTTATTGCCAAAACTGAAAAAGTTATAAGATTCTTATTGCTGACAATCTATCTACTTACCTTAGTGCTACTGTATTTCACAAGTGCAGAGAAGAAAATATCGAAGAAAATTTTTTTATAATAAAAATTATTATAAAATAATTTTTAAGGCCGATTTTCAAATAACTTTTTTTTGATTTTGAGATATATATTTTTTGTTAATAAAAACAAGAGGCGATTTTAGGAAATTTTCCAAAAATTAATAAACGTAGAACTCGAATGTAAGCAAATTTTTTATAATGCTTTATTTTAACAGTAGTAAAATAATTATTAAAAACTGAGTAAAGTAGTCCCAGTTGACAGTATCTTTGAGTATAGATAATCTTTTAATTTGTGAACTCGATTATATTGATAAAAGAAACATACTAAAAATTAAAAACCAGGTTTGTATATTTTGATATCTTCGCAAATGGCGGATGCGTTTTTATAACGGCAAAAGAGAAATTAGACAATTTCGGAGTTAGCGTAGCCATTTTGGAAAAACACTCTTGGGGGTGCAAGTTGAACTTTGAACTTTCCGTTTTTATGCGAAATGTCATATAAAAGTATGAAAATTTTCTTAATTTAAGTTCAAAATAACTCATGGATTATTAGTTAATTCTTGGTTTATAATTATAAGGAAAAAATGTTAAACTTGTTGCAAGAGCTTTTGTTACTATGAAACTTATTCTTGAAATAATATCTTCACAATTTAAAACCAAAAAAATGGTGAGATTATACCTTTTTTTTATGGTTTTAAATTTTATAATATAAAATAAGTTTGCATTTTTTTATTTAATTATTATATATATAGTTTATATTGAAAAGTAATGCTTCTATTTTAGTAATTTAAATGGTACAAACTATACTATGTGAAAACTTTAAATCAACAATTCACTTTAGGGCATACATTTTATTACAGTGAATTGCTGGATCTCATTATAAAATTAGTTATTAGTTTAAAACTAGTTAATATACTTTTATTGCTTTTTTTTTTTAACATAAAAGCATTTAGTAAGTAATATCTAGTATGTAATATAATGCCAAGTCATAGCAAATGTATAGTTGGTGTCTGTAACAATGATAAATAATACCCGGACATTCACAAGTTACCAACATGTAAAGAAAGAAGAAATGCATGGATACATCATGGTAGCACTGGTATAAAAGATTTTATTGTCCCTAAAAATTCTTTGTTTGTTCAAATTACTTTCTTGAAGAAAAATCTACAAAAGATAATCCTGATCTAACTTTGTTTTTAAAAATTTCTACTAACACCATAACAACACCATAAAAGAGAAAAGTACCCTTTCAAAGAAACTCAATTATTAATTCAAAAAAGATTTTAGTTATGAAAGAAACTAATCCAAATTCGATGGATGATTCGATGGATAATCAGGAGACATAATATTGCCTCTGTTAATTCAACAGAATGTGGCCATTTTCTTAATTTCAAACTTTTGTTGCTTCCATCCCAATACGTCATAAGAGAAGCTTTATCTTTGAGATAATTAAAGACACTTTTGAAAATTTTAGTATTCACCAAACCTGTAAAAATATTGCTCATCATTTTCACGTGTCAACTTGCAGAACATCATTGGGACAAAGACGTTCACTAGAAGTTCACTAGATGATGCTATTTCTTTTTCATCTGCAATAATAAAATTCAGCTCAGAATCACCACAGTCAACATTAGAACTGCAACCATCCATCAAATTTGAATTAGTTTCTTTCATAACTAAAACCTTTTTAGAATTAATAATTAAGTTTCGTGGAAAAGGTACTTTTCTCGTTTTTGGTGTTGTTATGGTGTTAGTAAAAATTTTTAAAAGCAATATTGGATCAGGATTATCTTATGTAGGTTTTTCTTCAAGGAAGTGATTCGAACAAACAAAAAAGTTTTTAGGAACAACAAAATTTTTTATACCAGTGCTACCATGATGTGTCATGCATTTCTTGTTTCTTTACATGTTGGTAACTTGTGCATTATTAAATTTCTTTCAACATTGCTATGCTTTATAATTTTGTCAGGGTATCTTTTGTCATTATTACAGATACCAACTACACATCTGCTATGACTTGGCATTATACTACATACAATTTAATTAACTAGTTTTAAACTAATAACTAGTTTTTTATAATGAGATCAAACAGCTCACTGTAATAAAATATATGTACTAAAGTGAGTTGTTGGTTTGAATTTTTTATAAGGTATAGTTTGCACCATTTAAAATACAAAATACAAAATTTAAAACCATAAAAAAGGTATAATATCACCCTTCCTTTTGGTTTTAAATTGTGAAGATATTATTTCAAGAATAAGTTAAATAAAAGCTCTTGTAACAAGTTTAACATTTTTCCCTAATATTTTTAAACTAAGAATTAACTAATAAACTATGAGTTATTTTGAACTTAAATTAAGAAAATTTTCATACTTTTATATGACATTTCGTATAGAAACGGAAAGTTCAAAGTTCAACTTGCACCCCCAAGAATATTTTTCCAAGATGGCTACGCTAACTCCGAAATCGTCTATTGAAGATAAATAATATAGAATAAAAAACAAACTATACATAAAAATACTAATTATTTTTTTATAACCACAAATAACTCATCAACGATCATATAAATTAACTTGAAGCAAACACGTTCACAAAAAATCATTTAAAAAGGAAAAAAATTATACGTAAAAATAAAAAAAGAACTTCGAATTTAAAAAACTTATTAAATTATGTCAACAAAATAGGGGGGAGGTGGTCTGAACTTTTTTGACAATTGTTGACAAGAGGGGGGGGGAAGGTCTTTTAAATTAAATTAAAGTTGATGTCACCAATTTTTTTTTTTGAATTTCATTGCTTAAATAGCGGAAAATTAGCCTGAGTTTGTTGCGTAGCTTTTTTGTATAGAGTGGTGGTAATAAAAAATTGACGTAGTTTTATAGGGGGGTCTCTGGAAGTTTGACAAATTGTTGACAAGGGGGAGGGGAAGAGGTAAAAATTTCAAAAAAGTTTTTACGTAATAAATGGACAGCCCCCTATTATATTTTTATAAACTTATTTATTATTGACTTATTTTTATTTATTATTATTTTAGTATCTTTGTTAACAATATTATTATTGGTAGCAGTTAACAGTAGTTATATTATTATTAGTATATATTATTAATATAGTATATTATTATTAAAGTATTATTAGTTATTTTTTTATATTTGATATCTTTAGTTGTCTTAATTACTGTTAATATTAGTTCGTGGTTTGTCAAAGTTTATTTTGATTATTTAATTTTATAACTGTTAACTTTAAGTTTTCATTAGTTTTAATCATTTTTTTTTTTCATTTCTTTATATTGTTCTAAAAATTATTTTTGATTACTCGCGCCAACGGTTACCCAAGTTATGAATTAAAGTATTTAGTTTTTTACTTTGCATTTTTTTTTTTAAATCTGTATTTTACAATTTAGTCTCTTTGACTAGTTAATACATATATATATTTTTTCTTAAGATTATGGCATTTAAATCTCTCTGCAACACTTGTCATAAAAATATAACTGACAATCAAAGAGCCATCTAATGTGATCTTTGTAACTCATGGGTTCATGCAAAATGTAACCATATCAATGCACAATCATATAATATTCTTTTGAATGACTCGTCAGATTTGTATGGTCAAAGCTGTTTATCTAAGAGTATGGCCTTTAGCTTGATTTCCAACTTTGAGCTTAAGTCAACATTATTATGCAAAAATATATCTACTAGTTCATTAAATTCTTTTGAGACTCCAAGTAATCATTAAAATATCTTTAAAGATCTAAATAAATTTCCCAGTTCTGTTAATTGCAAATACTATGACGTTATTGATCTCAATAATACTATGCTTCCCAATTCAGAACTATATATTTATCTTAACATCACTTTTCTACTAATAATTTTCCATTAGCAATAAGTATTACAGAACCTAATTTTTATATAAACAATACAAATATAACTGATATATACATAAACGAGTTTAATATTGAGCATTGTCCTACTGAAGCTAAAAAAGGTGGAGCACTTTTATACTTACACTCAAATTTA